ACAAACCTCAGTGAATGTCCATATATCCCTTCCCATGAACATGAGGCACGAGCGGGTTAATCTGGAAACACATCTCACGAGCTCAATAGTGTGTGAAAACTGAGATTTAAATCTGCACTTTATTTGTTTTCACTCCCAACTATTCAGAGAGCAGAAAATCATAATTTATAGTGCCAATTGTCAGTATTTATAACCAATCCTTGCTTCAAACACTGGAAAGATGATTAAAAAAAAAAAGGCAGATGGTGTCATTCTGCTAAATGTTGTTTACCGTTGTCTGTTGTTTTAGAAATGCTCAAAATGGAATTTAAACAAAAGTTTTGTTCTGCAAGTGACAGACCTTTCCTTCAAGGGCTCCAATTTAGTACACTTCTGGCTAATGAGTGACACTAATAATCTAGCTCGTCAATCACCTTGGATCCCAAACACTGTCTTTAGTGGGGAGTGGGACAGAGGCCTTGAGCACGTCTGGGATCTCTGTGAAGCAATTAAAACTTCATGGTCATATTAGTTTCCACAGTGGCTCAGTAGTAAAATCTTAAACGGCTTTCTTGAAAAGTGGTTCTGACCTGAAAGAAAAACAATGTTAATGTGAAGACCTTGTATTAAAATAAAATTAAGAACATTTAAACCCAGATTATCAAAAGTACCCCAATCATCTCCTCCACCTGCAACACTCAAAGAATTGAAGAGCTCTTGCTTATAGATTCTGTACTGGTTCTGAATGCATTTCTTTTATTAAACTGTTCAGCTAAAAAAGTGAGAATTAGGGCTACTCATGAAGAGCACAATTCTTATACAACAGGGTAACACTAATAATTTGGAAAAGGACTTGCAAAGAATTTCCAGAGCACTGAATCCTGTTCAAGGATCTGTAGTTAATTGTCTTTTAAGATGCACCCAATTCTCAGTTGCATGGTACACTTGTCAAATTTATTAAAATGACACATCTATTTGTAACCCTCTGATAAGAACCTGATTAAATTTTTTGCCTGACTTGTTGGAGATCCCAGTGATGTCCCTTCTAATAAATGTCGATTGCATTTGTCATTAATTTTAACATTTGCAGTCCTGTTAATTTTTTTAAGAAGATTTGGTCTGATTTATATGTTTTGTGTGTCAAGAGCAGGAGGGCTGGCTTCACTGAAAAAAAGTGTAAAGTTTTGGTTTGGTTTTCCCCCCTTATATCACATTAACATTCATTAACAATCACTCTTTCAGTTGTTGGAACTAGGTGGGTTTTTTTAAAGATAATAACGTGACTGAGGTTCTGTATTTGTGTGTCTCAGCACAAATTTAGGCGAGCGAGCATTCAGGTTGTTTTATCTTTGATGACCAGTGATTAAAAATTTACTGCTCTATAGGGTCAGGAAGAAATCCACATACGTTTTTCCCTAAAATATCTGGTGATGAGCCTTGAAGGGTTTTCTTTCTGGTACTTCACGAGCGAACAAAATCCTTGTAGAATCCATCTTCTTGTGAAGATCAATGATATTTGTACTTTTGGGCCTCAAATACTTAACTATCACGGTGCTCTTTGATACTGTTTTTTATTGCTTTCTATCTCTAAAGAATGCTTTTTAGAGTGAACGTGTTTTGAAGAGAGGAGTTGGCTGATGTTCTATCTCTTCCAGTCTGAACTGGGCACCTGCTGTATGAGACAGAACTTCTGGTTTATAGCAGTTGGCAAACTAAATGGATTGCTGTTCTGCTGCTGAGCAGCCTCTTGGGAAGCTGATGAATGCTCCTTCATTATTCCCACTGGGGTGTGTTGTGTCAGAGCCTAGACCATGGTGGTCACTTCATCAAACAGAGTTTTCACATGTGGGGTCTTAAATGCCTAGAAACTATGAGATGGCTTCATGGTTTAAAGTTAGTCTCTTTTTCCTCTGTTATCAGTTATTATTGTTATCCTTAATGTCTGTCCTGGATATAGTTGGCCTATGGACTTCTCAAAGTGCATAGTGAAAATGCATGAACAAACAAAAACTTCCTGGAAACCTTCCCAGGTTGCTCCTAAGGAACTGATGTTTCTGTGCCCAGTGGGCAGAGAACTGCTGAATTCGGTGATTTCCTCCAGTGTGGTGGTGCAGGCTAAAGTGCAAAAAAGCTTCCCTGGTGTTGAAGAGCCAGGGGTCTGGTCTTCAAACCAAACAGCTCTGCAACAGAAATAAGCGAAATATTTCTTAGAGCTGTGTGGGAATCAGGAACTCCTATCCTGTGGGAAATTAACGTTCTTAGAGAGGGAGGAATTGCACCGAGGTGGAATGTTACAAACTGAGGTGTCCTGTGGGTGAGTCTCTTTGAGCTGGGGCAACTGAAAACATCAGCTGGCAGATTACCAGGGAGGTTTTTGTCAGTAAATCCCCCTGGCCAGAGCTGATGATATTCCTGCACGTCCATGAGGCAGCAATTGGACAAACATTTCTCCACTTGACACCTACATATAACGGAACAGTGCTGCACCAAAACTGGTGCTACCTTTTGCTGGGGACAAGCAGACTGTGCAGCACAAGTTTCTTTCTGATCTAAACCCTAAGGGGCGTCCATTTGTGAAGGAGCAGATCTGTACTCTGCAAGAACACCTGCCTACCTGCCTTTCGGGAGACAGGCAGGTGCTACATGGTCTGTCTGAAGTGTTTTTGCAGGTCGCTTAAGAAAGATTTAAATCTAAGGCCTGGCTCAGCCACTGATCTGCTGTAAAGCCTGAAGTGATTTCTCTCATCTCTTTTGCCTCCACTTTTCAGGTACCCCTGGCCTGTTTTCTCCATTTTGCCCACAACAGGATGGAATATTTTGCTATATTTTCCATATCTGTACACAGGCTTGCACAAAAGGGTCTCGGGTCCTTCCATCCAGAATTGTTGTGTGAGCACCTGTGAATCTGAGACTTGAGAAAGACTTAACTATCATTTTTCCACTTGCTGTTTCAAACAGGATTTAATCTCTTAAGCAAGGATAGTATACGCTACAGCTGTGTAAACTGACTAACATATATACATATCTAGCTACAAGACCTTCATAAATTAAGTTGTCAGGTCTGTAGTAAAACAACATAAAAGAACCCTTTCTGTTAATACATGTGCATTTTTCAGAGAGACAATTCCCATTTAACCTTTCTTCTCAGCGTGCTTCTAAGATGGAAAGTTTCTATTCCCATGCTTGAATTTCTTAATGACCTAATTTCATTAACTCTACATTGGATTCAGAAAAAAAATCCCAGCGAGCATCAGGCCTTTTCAAACCACAGTGAGGCTTAAAGCTCAGGAAGGGATTTGTGTATCCTATTAACTTTCGTAATTGTAAACAAAGCCTCAGTGTCTTGTGTAATAACCACATTTCAAATCAGCATGTGGCTCATTAAAGCCCTAACATCTGAACCGGTACATTAAAGGTAACCAAATAATTAATCTGAGTAGTGTTTCTTCTATTAGTGAGAGTGCGCCCACTAGAAGGCAGCATCTGCTAGAGAGTTATAATCTTGAGGAAAAAGTAAAAAGCTTCATTAAATAATTCCATGTGAATACCTCGAGGAAAACCCCAGGTGTCATTTTAGAGAGAGGAAGGAGAGTGTCTCTGGCCTTGGTTACAGGTGGTTTCACTGCAAAACCATACGGAATCACAGTTATTTTCTTGGTGAAGGCACAATGTCTGAATTTCTCGAGCTTTCAAGTCTGGAGGAAGAACTGTGACAATTGCAAGATAAAGTTTAAGGAATCTCTCCTGAGCTCTGGCAATGCAGGCCGTGGTCTGAGCCAGGCGTCTGGGAGACCTGGGCTCAGGTCAGAGAAAGGAGGGAAAAGAAACTGCCTCTTGCAGACAGCGTGTGTCGGGGTTTGGTGTCTCTCTGGCTGATGGTCAGCTTCATTCAGTGCATGGGCCGATGGCATTAGGTGAAGAGCTGCTCAGTCTTAATTACCATACATTGTCTTTAGGGCAGAGATTAAATGAAAAATCCTCTTAAGGATACCATAATTCTGGATCAGTTATCAGTGGGCCTAAGTGCTTCAAAACATGAATTTATTATAACACCATTCCTCTGTATGGAGAGAGTATCATTCCTGCTATAAAGATAGGAATTAAGAGACCAGATGAGACAAGACACGAGTTTCAAATTTATTTCTGTTGCCCAGTGTGGAACATGTGGGCCACACAGCTCCTGTCATCTTCAGCTTGTTTCTGGGTTCTCAGGTCTTAAGTCTGGCCTTCAGAAAACAGTACTGCTATTAACGACTGGCTATGAACCCTGTGGTTAGAACTTGCATGGTGACACTCCTAATTGCTGTCACAGAAAAAAAAAAATATTCTATTTGCTCTTCCTAATGTACATCTTTCGTGAAAGAACACCTATACCTAGTAGTTACCTGGAAAGTTTGGAAACAGTGGCTTCTTCCTCAGTAACAGCTGAAATATTGAGCTCTGAAGAGTCAGACTGGAAGAGCTTGGAACTGCAAACTGGAAATGTGGTGTTCACCACACCTGCTCGTACAAGGGAATCAGAGTAGGGGGGATTCAATCTGTAATGGTTTGTGAGAATAAACTGTAGGAGGTAAAGATGTCAATTTTAGAATCTTACGGCTGAAAGCATTTAGAATCCTAAAGCTGAAATAATTTTCCAGTTAAGTTATTCTTCAGGGAAGCAGGCAACTGCTGCATGTAGTATAGTGCAAGCAAATTAAAGAACCACCCTTTCTCCTACAGGAGGAAGATGGCCAGATGAGAACTTACAGTTGTATAAACATCACACAAAATGATCCTCCACTTTAATGTGCTTTCCTATGAATTTCATCTGTATTGTAATTACCCAGTAAAATACAGAATTGACAGGGCATGAATCCTGCTCACCCTTTTATTATACAAAACACACCTATAATCTAAACTATATTGTATTAGCAGCAGCTGTGCTGAAGTCTTTGTGTAACTTATAACTAAATACAATCTCACATATAATGATACACTTACACTAGGCTTTGCTTTAATATATATATATGACCTGACTATTTGTTACCACATAATAGTTTATTAGATTTTTTTAAAATGACATTACAAAGAGCCTAAGGCTGGTATTACAAGGTATATTGATACATTTCCTGTGTTCACAAATTCCCCCTATTATTATGAGCTTTTATTACAATTTCCCCTCAGTTTTGAAAAATGACCTGTCGTATCGCCTTCAGAATACACAGGTGCTAATTTGGTGGCAGTCAAAGAGCAGTCTTAAGTGTGATCCACATATAACTGCTGGCTGCCACTACTCCTTTCTTAAATTTGTACTTCAAGCTGGAGGAGCGTTGCAGTGATTGTCAGTAACAGCCGACATCGGTCATTTTTCTTCACAAGTGACATAGTACAGACTGGTCTATATATACTTTTCATTGCCAAAATACTCCAATGTAAACCATTAAACTCCAGGCCTATAAATGTGGATATGATTATAAAACAAACACCTTTCTAAACCAAGTATTTAAAGATTTCTGGCTAGCTGTTACTCGAAGAGAAGCAAGGCTTTACAACTCTAAGTGGGTCCTCTCCTTTCTTGCTGCTGAGTTTATCATTGCTTTGTTAGCAAACTGTTCAGTACAAGCCAGGGAGTTAAACAGAAAGACCACAGACACTCCCACAATCCCATCCCTATTCTGACCACTATCACTACTTTAACCTTAATTATTGTTCAAAGGTGATGCTAAATGATACATTGTCAGTTTCAAAGTAAATTTTTTACAGTATTAAAAAGCTTAAATCCCATAGTGAGATTTTTTCATAGTTAATAGTTCCTTGTCTGTCTAAATATAACAGATTTGAAAGGCAGTGGTCGCTCAACTGTGTAAAGGTGTCTCTAATGCTAAATCTCTACTGCTGGTTCATGTTCCAGGAACACACAGGTAATGTAATACCAAGAGTAGGAGATAGGATTTTGATGTTCAGCGTCTCATGTTTCCAAAATCACCTTATTACATTCATGAGAAAACAACAAAGTCTTCAACTGGTTAAGTGACTGATGCTTAAAGCTAAGATTAATGCCAAGTTTCAATCTTGTGCTTCACTCCACAAAGTTACGTGGGACAAGGTAAGATTTCTGTTTGAAGGGAGTCACTAGATGTTTAGCTATCAAAAATGAAACGTCTAGAAAAAGTGCAAGGAAGCGAAAAAGGTGACTTCACAAAAAAATACACCCAGTTGTTGAGATCCATAAGATCTGTGTTTTAATAACACAACTAATTGATCCTCGTAACAAGAATTCAAAAAGTGAAATTACAGTACACAAATCAAAATATAAACTAACCTATCCCTAACTATACAATATACATTAGGAATGCAAGCTCTGTAACAATATAAAAATGCTTTTACACACAATAGTTGCAAAAAGCTGTTACGTAATTCCAAGGATTTGTAGAAAAAAAAGTCTTCCAGGATTCATCTTAAGTTACTGGCAACCTGTTGGGGAAAAATAATTTAAAAAAATATGTTACTGAGAAGAATTAAGAGAATCATGCTTATCAGAAATTTTCATTTGTGAGGTTTAGGCTAAGGGAACTGACACTGGGGACAATAATAACCCATAATAATTCGTATTTCTGCCACAGAAAGTAGGCACCTTAACAAGCAAGATGTATACATGTTTCAAACACACATGCCTACTATACAGCCTCACAGTATTCCAGATGTAACCTTAGAACTTCAAGCTTAAGAGAAGCTGAGACATATCCTTATTAGCCACCCTAAAAAAAATAAAAAAAATTAATCTAACATGACACATCCAGTAGTTTATTTATCAGTTGCCTTCCATGGACTACAAAAATGAAGTTCTATACAAACTGAAGCTATGGGAACTGGAGCAGATGTTGGTAACATGCATGAGATTATGGTCCTTTTCAGAAGGCTCAAATACGATAAGAGAAGGGAAGAGAACAGCTCGCTTTGCTACCGATATTTTTCTCCATCTCTTCTCCTTCCCATTGCTGCAAAAACAGCCACTATTTCAGATCTTACCAAGAGTATCAGAGTAACAGAGGATGAATGTAGCTATTGCACTTTCTCAAAGCAATTAGAAATGAAGAAAATAACTCTCCTCCCAATACTGGTGAAGGAAACATCCTTGCTATAGAGGGTACTCAGAGCCTGCTGAGGGGAGCTTTTAAAAAACACTGTATTATAACATACAGAGCTGCTCTGAATTAATTTCAGACTATCTCACAAATCAAGGGAAAAAGTCCATCTACTTGAAAGTCAGTAATTTTGAGTGACCTGAGGATTTGTTTCAGGGCTAGCAAGCAACTGTCTCACTTTAACTCTTGTTCGTAGCAGGGGCCTTGTTCTCTCCTTCCAATTCCTCCACTCCTGCCTGCGTCATGAGGTCTGCTATGTTCTTCTCCAGGTCGTCAATGCGACAGCTCATGTCATCAAGTTCAATGGAGTTAAGGATCATAACTGCAATCCAGTAGCAGGTGGGGTTTCTCTGTCTGTTTTTCATTACATCTTTAATCAAACGCTTATGGTCACTTTAAATTAATCTTACAAATCCCACTGGTACATATACTTTAAAATACTTATGATTCTGTAGTGTGTAGCACCTCTCTGACTTTAAAAAAAGGATATTTCTTCCAATTATTTGGTCAGACATGGTTTGAAATTTATCCTGCATTTGCTGAAGCAGTGTCTGCACCTATTAGAAAGGAAAAGAAGGAGAAGTCTGTTTTGCTTTCATTAAAGAGGTTGTTACAGTATTTAATCTTATGTAATGAGGTAAGTACAACATTTTCTTACATTGCTGTGCTCAACTGTGCACAAACTCTGCAGTGTAATGCCACATTTAAGTGACATATTTTTGGATATAAATATATACATATACCTAGGAGAACTGAGGCTTGCAGTAAACAATTTTAGGATCCAGAAAATGCCTGTGTTGCACAACCAGGGCTAAACCCACAGTAGCATCCTGTGCTAATCATGTGGCAACACTTTATTCGCTATCAGAACAGCAGCTTTCCTCTCCGCATTCCCAAACCCTTGCTCTTAACCGCATCCTCCCCGGGCACAGACAACTCCTCCTCACGCAGGGATGCCCGGCTGCCAGCCGGGGAGGGGGCCCCGGCAGAGCGCTTCAGCCGAACGAGCAGCCTTAGCGCCGCGACGGGACACGGGGCTGTACCCGCGCTCCGACCCGGGCCGCCCCGGGGGGACGCGGCAGAAGCAGCTCTACAGTGGGGGCGCTTTATCGTGACACCCGGGATAAAAGGCACCACAAGCCCGGCAGCCTCTCCAGCAGCGGGTCACCCCGGCTCGGCCCCGCCGGGCCGCAGGAGGTAACGCCAGAGCCCAGGAACGGGGCGAGGCCGGAGGCTTTACCCGCTTCTACCGGGCCTCTCCTCAGGGAGGCTGCGGCCCGCCCGCCCTGCGCTCTGCGGCCGCTCCCCGCTCCCCCCCCCGAGGCGGCGGGCGCGGTGCCGGCGGCCTCACCACGGCGGTGAGATCCTGCACGGTCTTGGGGTCGGTCTCAGCCATGGCGGGCTCGGCTCCCGGCTCCCGTTTCCGCGACGACGGCGGCGATTCCGGTCCCCGCCCCGCCACTTCCGCCGCCGCCGCGCCTCTCGCGAGACGAGGCGGCCGCGGGGCATTGTGGGAAATGGCGGCCGCGAGGCATTGTGGGAAATGGCGGGAAGCTCGAAACGGGGAGCGCCGGTGAGGGAAATTCACCGTAGACCCCGACCGCGGGCTCCCTGCGCCTCTCCGCACCGTCTCGGGAGCCCACCCGCACCTCGCTGGGCTCCCCACGGCGGGGTGGGCCCCCTGGAAGAAGCTGGAAGCTTCTCCCCGCTCCGCCACCGTCAGGGCTGTTGTTGGTCCCTGTTGGCAGCGGGATGTGAAAAGTAAGGAGCTTGTGGGCTTCCTCCATGGGTGCTAACCCAGAGTGTGAGGTGAAGTCTTGTATAAACAGAGCACCAGCACAGCCATATGGGAGGGGATGGCACTAAAACATCTTTTTTACCCCTGAGCATTAAGCTTACCTGTAATCTTACATTTAGAGCCATAGAATGATAGAATGGGTTAGGTTGGAAGGGACCATCTAGTTCCAACCCGTAGACCAGGTCTTTCAAAGCCCCATCCAGCCTGTCCTTGGACCCCTCCAGGGATGGGGCATCCACAGCTTCGCTGGGCAACCCGTGCCAGTGTCTCACCACTCTCGTAGTGAAAAATTTCTCCCTGATACCTGATCTAAATCTACCTTCTTCCAGTTTGAAGCAATTACCCCTTGTCCTATCACTACATACCCCTGTAAAAAGTCCCTCTCCAGCTCTCCTGTAGCCCCCTTCAGATACTGGGAAGCTGCTATAAGGTCTCCCTGGAGCCTTCTCTTCTCCAGGCTGAACAAGCCCAACTCTCCCAGCCTGTCCTCACAGCAGAGGTGCCACAGCCCTCATCATCTTTGTGTCCTCCTCTGGACCCACTCCAACAGGTCCATGTCCTTATGCTGGGACCCCAGAGCTTGATTCAGTGCTCCAGTTGTTGTCTCACCAGATCTCAGTAGAGGTGGAGAATCACCTCCCTCAACCTGCTGGCCACGCTGCTTTTGATGCAGCCCAAGATGGGGTTGTCTTCCTGGGCTGTGACCACACATTGCTGGGTCATGTTGAGCTTCTCATTCACCAACACCCCTAAGTCCTCCTCAGGGCTGCTCTCAATCCATTCTCCTGTGTTTGTGTTTGCAATTGCCCTGGCCCGCATGCAGGAATAAAAGCTTTCCTCACACAGAGATTTAATAGTTTTACTCATGCTTTTAAAAAAATAACTTTGCGAGTTGGGGGGATTCCAAATGTATTTTTCTAGCCTGAGAAACGGCGCTGCTTGAAGAAGCCTGTTTTATTTTTTATGGTTTAATTTAGAAGGGAATGAGCAGCTAAGCCTGGCCAGCAAACATTTGCAGGTAATCTGGCTTCAGCGAGGGGCTGGCTGTAGGATGGGCGGCATTACGGATTAGCGCTGGGAGTCAGGAATGTTATGTAAGTGGATTGATGATTAAAGGGAGTATATTGTTGTGGCATATTGTATTCATGAAAGAAAGTACCGATAACAAAGTTGCATGCATTAGATAGAATTTCTGTCTGCCACAGATTAGTGATATGGTCTTTAAGACACTGTAAAGCTTTGTAGGCTGGATTTTTGTGGTGGGGATGGACATTGGGGATGGATAAGCATTTCCTAAGTGTAAGTTTATAGGCTTTTTACACCAAAACTACTCATTTGTAGTTTTCGTTTGTGAAGTGAGTCACATGTTTACACAGCTCTGTTATTGTATACTGGGATAAGATCTAAACTGCAGTTAATGAAAACATTGAATATGGATTTGGAAATGAAGATCCTTTCCCATTAGCAGCAGATGATTCTCAAACATCTAATTTCGCCTGAAAGCTGATACAATGCGCTGCCACACTCTGCCTTATCCCATAACTAGTAACAAATGTGAGATGCAGGACAGTTGCATTATTAATGTGCCTTTTGGAGCATAGCAGTAGTAATAAAAAAACTACTTAGTGCCAGTTTGGGGAAATTTTGTTGCCTGTTTGAAAGTAAATACGGCTTCTAGCTCTGAAAAATGCTAAGAAATTAACTCCATTTATTTGTTTGGTGTGTTTACGAAAGGTGGTTTTATTTATGACTGCTATTTGAATCCCATAAACGATTGTTTTGAAAATGCCAATGTATCTGGCCTCTTGGTGGATGTCAAAGTGCAGATCTCTTGGCTGCCCTGAAGGCTGGTGTGAGTCTCGTGGCAAGTAGTGCTGCTCTTCACTTGTTCTCATAACTTTAGGATTTTTTTTTGGTGTCATGAAACATTTGGAGGGATAAAACTTTTTTGTTATTCATTTGCTTCCTAGCGTGGTATAGTTAAACAATGACTGACTTAAAATTTGCAGGGTTTTACCTCCTTTTTGAGACTGGACTGAAAGAAAATGCTATGTGAGGAGGACTGGTAGGATTAATGATCCTTTCACATTAATGTGCAGAGATGACTAAAATGAATGGAGCTGTAGAAGGCTGAATTTTCTTGCTGGTTTTTTACTAACAAAGTCTTAATTTAAAGTGTACAGAAAAGGAGGACCTTGAAATTTACAAAGGGCCTGTTGTTTTCTTTAAAATCAAGGGAAATTTACAAAGATTGATTTAAGAACAGCTAGTGAAACTCCTTTAAAATGCAGTGATATGTAATTCCAAAGCAGAACGACTGGATCTCATATAGCAGTAAGTCATGGTTAGGCTCTGTACAAAGCAGGCACATTTTCAGTTGTCCAGAGAACTCAAAAGGAGTTTTGCCTCTGTGGAAGCATGCTAGAGGTTTCTGGTACTGGTGTCTTTAGGTCTGATTCAGTTCCTGTTTCTTTGCTGACATAGGATTAGGCTCAATTCTCATCAAGTAACCACTTCAAAAAAAAAGGCTGTTAATTTAACAGTTTATTTTTTGTGCTAGTTAATTTCAAAATCACCTTAAGCAGTTAATGCTGCAGAATTGATTATATATTTGTTGTTAGGCCTCCTTTACAGTAGCCATAATGCAGACGTTGGGAGGTATCTAATGGAATGTAAGTTTAAAAAGGCAGAATAAAGTCTCACAAAGGCAATTTTGGAAAAGGCAGTGGTTTTTGCAGAGACCCTGTTCTTACCAAAAACACTGTTGTGGATTCTGTAATTATCTCAAAGAGTTGTGGTCCTGTGTTTACATCTTTTTTAAATAGAGTCTCTTCCAGAGGACTGTGTTCCTGGTAGAATTCCAGTGCATTAGATCAATGGTAACAGTTTAGAAAAGATGGTATTATTATGTCTGTGTATTCTGTGAGGCAATAAATAGCAACTATACTTTAATTGCTTATTTGGGCTCCCTGATGACTTTCAGATAATTGCGGTAGTTCTGAGCATTATTCGTACAATGACTGTGCACTCAAACTGTTGCAACTGTTCTTGCCTGATGCCTCATGTAAGTGTGCTGAATTTATGGATTTTAAGATACTCAGCACATAAAATCACAGCTACATTTTTTGTATTTGAGACAATGACTTCTGATGAAATCTTGAGAATGAAATTTTAATATCTCAATTGCAGCCTGTGTTGCTCGTGGCAGAAGTTCTTGAGAAAATATAAAAATATAACAAATAGAACTAATTTATTACTTCCAGAGGGATAATACTCCTTAGAGGCTGTCAGATATACGTGAGGTCAGGGCATAATAAACAAAGAACTGTACTTAGAAAACAACTGCCAAGGGAAAAATAAATGTTCAATATAATGACTCATGTGAATATTTAACTGGATAGAGCACAAATTATGTAAATAGCAAAACCAGGTCTAGAATAAATGTGAAACTGATTTGAATTAAAACAGAAACAATTCACTGTGCTTTTTTCCATATTATTCTTCAGCAAGTAAAACAAATAGCTTTTGTATAAGTTCTCACATGAAGTTAACTCCTGTTTCAAAATGAAATTATTTTTGCGGTGGTTATTCCTCTGGGGTAATTCATCCTGTATTTTGCATTTTCAGTCTTTGATTAGCTCGCTGGTACTTGCCATCGGAACTGAGCAAGGACTCCTTCCCTGGGCGCTTCACATCTTTTGAGCCACACGAGGGAAGAGAATGACAAGCAGGGATTCATTAAGAGTAGACAGATTTCATTTTAGGAGGTTGGAGCAGAGGAAGGTGAGCAAAGTAAGAGACAGAGATATGAGGGATATTACCATATTTCATACATTACCCTTTCACTATCTTGTTCCTTCTCTCTCTCCCACTTCATTCTTGTACACAGACACTTCAGAATGTTACTTCCTTAGCATTGCTACTAAACCCTCTGTGACTGAAAGAGGAAAAGCTTTTGTAATCTATACTTTCCTGAAGGGAAAAGCTTGCTGATGGTCAATGAACATGAAGCCAATGGCCCTTTCCAGTGGCCTAATATTAACTGCTTTGTAATTCATGGTGATGTATGGGATTGTTTAATGGCATCTCTAGAGCATGTATACAGTTCCTTTAGTAGCTGTCCATTGAAGGCAATAATTAAGTCCACCAAGAGAAATGAACAATTGTCCAAGAGCAAAAAAGAGTAGTAACTTTATAAAGCTATTTGAATTTTGGTATTTTATACCTGGGGACATTTTAAATTGAGCATGAGAAAGGACTGCAAGATGAGAGGTAAGTTAATTCTCTCTATGGGAGAAAATACAGAACAGAACTTCTAGGCTGGAAGGAGCTGTTTGAGGAAGGAAGAGTGGATCTTAAAAAGATACCTTACTTTAAAACTGCAACTTCCAACTTTCATTATGCCTTGGTAAAATTTTCATGAGGACCGCTGAATCCAGAATCCCATTACTTCTGATGGGCATCTGCACAGAACAGAAGAAATGAGGGCTGTGGAATTTTTTTCAGTGAAGTTCCAAAGGACCATGAGGAGTTCTTACTGGAAAGAGAAAGTCTTTGTTAACATGAAGTTGTCTGAGCTGCTCTTTGCTTCAATGCTGCTGCCACTAAGGGTGTATGAGGAGAAAAGAAAGGGCCCTACTCTGCTAACACAAAGTATTGCTGTCTCAA